GGCAATCATTCTTCTCAGGACCCAGAGATGCTCTATGCATATACAATTATATGCCCACATCTATTTTTTATACCAGCCATCACATATTCTACATACTGTTCTGTCTCTTGCATTTCCCATTTAATTTGGAGATCATTCCATGTCTCTGTACATAGAATGGCCTCTCAGTAACTTTTTTAAACTGAAATATAATGTACATAAAGGGAAGTGCGTATACTATAAGAATCCAGCTGAATAAGTGTTCACAAACTGAACACTTCCGTATAACTAGCACCCTGATCAAGAAACGTAACATTATCAGTCCCTCCAAGTCTCTCTCTTCCTCTTCAGGCGCGGCCCATCCCCTCCTCAAGGGTATATCACTCTCCTGACATCTTAACAGACTAGATCAGGTTCGCCAGTTTATGTGATTTTTACAAAAAGAATTCTACTGCATATCCGCTGGTGAAGGGCTTGTTTTGTTCACCAGTATGCTGATGAGATCCATCAATGTCACTGACTTTCAGCCAATATTTAACAAATCTCTGAATAAGTTAAGGCCCTTGCTGCTGCCCATAAGACCATCCCTGCCTGTTTGATGTTTCGCTCAGTCTCAGCCTCACAACACTGGCCTTTCTCTAAATGGCATGGTAAATGCCTGAAAGAGTTCCCAGATAGCCAAAATTCACCACCAGATGCAGCTCGTGATGAAAACCAGCAGCCTGGTGTTGAGAGGGCTTATGTGGGCATGAGCAGAGGGAAGGAGGAGCAGCAGCCTTCCTTTCTGATCAGCATCTTTACATCCACGGCTCAGTAAGACAAGCTTTTGGAGCCCTCATTCACTCCGCCAGGAACTCAAATCTCAAATTCCCTGTACATGAGAAATCATGACAAAGCACTGATCTGCATTCCCTTTGCAAATGTTACTTTGAAAGTGGAGTCAAAACTACTTCCAAGTAAAGAGCAGAGCAGCTTTAACTAATATCGGCAAAGGGCCTAAGAAAAGAGATGGAGTTAATGTATTCCATCTGTTTGTTTTCTCTCTTGTGCCCTAAGACTCAGGACAAAATACCAGTTTGGCAAAGAAATTGTATATACAGGGCAGGAACAAGGTACTGACAGGGCAAGGCTGGACACACTGTCCAACCTGAGTTGGCCACGTATGAACTTGAAATCCCCAATTGGCAAATCTGTCCCCAACCTCCCCCCACCCCTAGCCTGGCAATGACAGCAGTATCTATTTCCAGATATGAGTTGTTATTCGTCAGGACCAATCAGCACTTTCATGTAGGGCCAATCATCGCTGCCCTGATTGGTTCAGGAGGCAACATGCAGGACTGCATTCTTGTGGTTTGCCCTTCCAGAAAGGCCTTTCCCAAGCACCACATGCTGCCCGCGCGGGGTCCAGCAGAAGAAGGGGAGGCAAAGCTGTGCCCTGTGGCAGACTCTGTTTTACCAGAAAAATACTGTGCTTGTTGCCTGGGTTAAATGCATTCCTTCTCCCCACATAGGCCTTCTCTTGCAAGGCTTTGTTGCACAGTCTCCAAAAGACCTCTTCTCTATTTACCTGCCAGCTTGTAACAAATAATTTTAGTGGCTGCTGGGTATCCTTCCAAAATGGTCATGACCTCATTCAGTTATTTTAGCAGCAGAAAAAATTCACAGAAAACCCAAGACAATCCAAAAATCATCTCCTAGCTTTCAATTAGGATGTGAAAAGAGAGAAAAGGAAGGAAGGATAAGCATAAGAAGAGAAAAGAGCTTGTGGGAGAAGTTGAAAATAAATCTTTTCCAAGTTCAGAAAGAATATCCCATTTAATTGCTTTATAAAGGTTTTCTTTGATGAGTAGTAAAGTATTACACAAGGTGTATAACTTTCTAGTGGCTTTTCAACCAGGCTTCTTTTGATAGGTGTCTGATACCCACTGCAGACAAGGGGAAAGGATACAGGGGGAGACCATGTACTCCTACCGCTAATCAGGGATGGAGAAGGTCTGCCAAGGCCATTGCCATCTCTCAGTTTGTATCACCAGGAGCCTGTGGAGACCACTCCTGGATAAATACAACCCTGTCTAGATCTATTCCATGAAATTATATCACAGTCCTTTCTGGAAACCTCTTAAAAAAGAGAATGGAAATTAGAAATGCCCACAGGGAAGGTTTTCATAGCGGTCCACAAGCTCAACTAGCTGGAATCTGAAGAAGGCAAAAAAAAAAAAAAGAAAATGGAATCTTCATCCGAATGATTGAACAGAAGATAAGCAAACATCAGGTGACAGAACAAACAGGCAGGGAATATGACCTACCAGTCCTGGGAAGGGATATAGTTCTTGTATTACTTTCAAAATGTGAGGAGGTTCTAATTAACTCTGCAGCTTTGAACCCAAGTCTGAGCAAAAGCTTCAGTCTTGATTCTTGGAAGAGCTGTATGAAGTGCAAGGGCCAAGGGCTTTTCAAGCTGATAGGATCTGAGAATGTCTCATGTGAACAGAAGTTCCCAGAACCAACAGTAGCTGGCAGCAGATAACCTCTCCAAGCTGGAAGATAGCCGAATCCTTGACTGTTAGTGCCAGAAGGTATCTTAGAGATGGCCCAAGCCCCAGTCCTCTGCTTTAGAGATGAGGAAACCTAGGCCCAGAAAGGGTAAAAGCTTGTCCCAGGTCACAGAGCTGGGTAATGGCACAGCTGTGACCAGCATCAAGGTGATCTGGCTTTCTTTGCCACACCTCAGCCAATGTGTAACTCAAGATCAAAATAGTCAGGGGCTCAGTGGGTAAAGAATCCTCCTGCAATGCAGGAACTGCAGGAGACTTGGGTTTGATCCCTGGGTTGGGAATATCCTCTGGTGGAGGAAATGGCAACCCACTCCTGTATTCTTGCCAGGAAAATCACATGCACAGAGGAACCTGGTGGGCTACAGTCCAAAGGGTCACAAAGAGTTGGACATGATGAACACACACACACACACACACACACACACACAAGGAGATTTATATAATGTAATCACTAAATATACACCTTGAGCATTTTATTATGTAGATTGAATGAATGAACATTTGTCCTTTAATTTTTCCAGGAAAAAAAAATTCCTTTGAATTATACACAAAGTTATATGACTTGTAGTTTAAAAACAAAATTGGTTAGGTCCCCCTCCTCTTTTTCACTGTTTATTAGTTTTTTAAAAGTGACTAGTTTTTAAAAAGTAATGAAGGTGTTGAAAGAGCAGACATAAAGTCCATTCAGTCACCCCTGGCAGGATGAGGAACATTTGTCCAATGGTGGAGTTCCTGAATTGGGACTAGGAAGAAGGGTTTGCCTATGAAAGGCATGGGTAAGCCGGTATATTTTAGATGCTTATTTTGGGGGGCCCCTCAAGGGACTGAGTAATTAGAATGCCAAGTTGAGAGAGGATATAGAGTTTTTTCTCATTGTTTTCTAATGTAAGTTAGCTAAAACAGCTACAATACTGGGAGACCTCTTGTATTTTATTCAAGGTAGAAGAATGACAGTCATAGTCATTTGTCTAGTAGGACCTCAGAAATCACCTAATCCAGAACCTTCATTTTCCAGATCAGAAAACAGAACCCCAGAGAGATCCAGTAACTTGATCAAGGTTAGCACAAGCTCTCTGAGTGTTTTGCCAACCTCTACTGTGTATACTGGGCAGTGGTGGGGAAGGCTTGAGGGTGGGAAGGCAGCATTCCAGCAAGTCTGTGAATCTTTCAAATTGCAAGCCATACAAAATGTGTATGCAGAGTACTCCCCTGGCAGATTTCAATATACATGAGTTAACTTGAAGATTTAAATGAAGATTTAAAGTATTTTCATTATAATCATTCCCCAGCCCTCCAAAGGGTTTAGGTGTGAACGCTTTGGAGACAGATTTTTCTGTTCTCTTAGAGGTGCTGAAGTCTGTGAAGCTCTAGACCACTGCTGATAAAACAGAATGGGTGGACTGATAGGAGTCAGATGCTGGGAGGCCACTCCTGGTAAGTGTCACCAACTTGCCTCAACTAGGCACCCTAGTTTGTAGCAGGTCACCTTTGGCAGCTGAAGTCTATACTTTTCAGTGATGGTCCCATCCGATGACAACTGTCCACAAAACCAAGGCTGGCCAGCACTGAACCTCCTTGGCGCTCCCTAAATGCTCCAAACCTCAAAACCCCAAAGACAGTTTGATGAATGAGCCCACACCCTTTGAGCTTAATGGGACTGCTCTCACCACTCCACAAGGATGGCTTTGAAAAGTAGCAGTAATGGTAGTCGCTCAGTTGTGTCTGACTCTTTGTGACTGCATGGACAGTGGCCACAAGGCTTCTCTGCCCATGGGATTCTCCAGGCAAGAAAACTGGAGTGGGTTGCCATGCCCTCCCCCAGGGGATCTTCCTGACCCAGGGACTGAACCTGAGTCTCCTGCATTGCAGGCAGATTCTTTACTATTTCAGCCACCAAGGAGGACTACTATTTATTTATTGAACAGTTATTGTGTACATTGCTCAAGACCTGTTATGTTATTTCCTCTCAATATCAGCAATGCAAGGTAGGGGTAATGGCCCCCTGATAACAGATATGAGGAAAGAAGGCTTAGTAACTCACCCACTTAACTCACACAGCTTGCAAGCGGCAGAGCTGGTCAAATCATTGAATCTTGGACTCTAAAACTTTTGCTTCCTGGGTCAGAGTCCCTGCTGGTAAAGCAGCACCCATACACTCCAGTTCCAGATTTCAAGTTATTGTCAGAAGCCTTCTTAATTCTAATGTGTTTGGAATCCTGTCTTTTGAAACTTCATGTTTGTCAAGCATACATGACTTCCTTCGATTTCTCTGCAAATTTTTACCAAATAAAACCATATGCACTTCCATAGCAACATTACAACACAAACATGGTGTAATCTTTGTCCACTGCAGTACACAGCTTGAAAAGTTTTTTTTTTTTTAATAAAAAAAAAAACCCTACATCTGTATACAGTTGAACTGAACCCCATGGCAACAAATACAAACATAAACGAGAGCTCTTCTCTTTAAGTATTTTCCTCTTTTCTTTGCAGGCAAGAGTCTGAGAACATCAGAAACTGGGTTGTACCGCTTGTGACTAAGCAGAGCTCCACTTCGGTGACCGAGGAGCCGCCAGGGCGACGCGGGCCTCCAGAGGGACAATGGCCCCTGCCCGCTGCGCGCGGGCGCCCGCCACTCCCGGCTCGGGAGCCCTGGCCACCGGCGCTTGACGCACGCGGAGCGGCGGGGGCCGCGGCCCGGGCCTCTTGGAACCCGAGAGCGGCTCGCAAGACGAGCCGCGTCAGGTCCCCGGGGGAGGCCGGGTGCCACCCGACCCGCAGGAAAGCGGGTGGCCCTAGGGGAGGGACCGGGGATGCGGGCACATCCTTCCGTTGCCGCTCTGCCTCTGCACCCCCGGGCATGGCTCCGGCCGGTCCCATTTCATCCTCCCCACGAACCTCCCAAGCGTTGTTGCCATGAGCCACGTTCACAAACGAAATCCTCCAGCCTCACGGACCATATGAACTCGCCCAAGCCGCCTCGGCTGGGAAGGTGGAGCGAAGGGATTTGAATACAGGACTTTTTTTTTTTTTCTTCCTCTTTTACTCTATTTTGCTTGGCTCCCGACTCCTAGGGCGCCAAGGAAGGTAATTCGCGTCCCTTCGCGCCGGCTGTCGTGATGCTTCCCGGAGCAGTCCTGGGTGCGCCTCCTGGGGAGCGCTGGGGCGGAGGCATGGCTGCGCTGAGTGATGCAGGTAAAGGCGGGTTTGTCTGTCTGAGGTCCCTGCTTCTCTCCTCTGATTCTCCCTCCTCCCAGAGCCCCAGCTGTTTAAGACTTTCTATGTCTTGACAAATGGAGACACTACCAAAGTGAAGACAATCCCAAACAAACTAGGCAACTGGGGTTTATGCGGTGGTTTGTTCTCGTTTCCATGGGGAAAGGCCCAGGGCGCACCTGCTGATGGGGGATGGGGGTGGCTGTCACTGAGTATATGCTATTCTCTGTTTCATTCTCATGAACCTGAGAGACTTATTATGAGCAGGTGCTAAAACCTGAATGTCCTTGGCTGCTTCCTCACTGAGCTTGTGCTGAGGTATCCAGTTGACTGCTGAGGGGGTGGGAGGGGGTGGGGGTGGGTAGGTTGAAGAACATCCGAGTGATGATAACAAGAAAACCTCCCATTTCTGAAATACTTGCTATGTACCAGGCACTCTGAGAAGCCCTTTATAGCATTTCAGCCTGACAAAACAGGGGAGGCAGATAATACTGTTTATTCTCATTTAACTCATGAGAGATCCAGAGCTTTCAGAGGTAGTCTTTTCTGCCCCCAGGTCCTGCAGTGGCAGAGCGGGTTCTGTCCAGGGCTTCAGACTTAAGAGCCTGTCCAGCAGTGATTTCCCCATAGAGGAGGGTGTTGGTTGGTTGGTTAGTGGTGCAGTGGTGTCTGACTCCTTTGCGAGTCAAGCATATATAGCCCACCAGGCTACTCTGTCCATGGGATTTCCCAGGCAAAAATACTGGAATGGGTTGCCATTTCCTTCTCCAGGGGATCTTCTCAGCGCAGCGATGGAACCAATGTTTCCTGCTTTGGCAGGCAGGAGAGAGTGACCTAGGGAAGGCACTAGGGAAGCCCCAGAAGGGGGTGAGTGTGTGCTCAGTTGTGTCTCCTATGCCACCTGAGAAGAGGGTAGGAGGCCACTCCAAAAAGACACCCATAAGACTGTGCCAGGAGAGACACAGACTCTCGGGTGGTCTTGAACCAGCTTTAGGATATGGTGGGGAAGGAGGAGGAGAAGAGTGGGAACACCCCCGCTTCTTGTCCAGATCCAAAGAGGGGATCCAAAGTTCAGTTCTTTACTTAATCAATTGTTTTTTGTTTTCAGAACTAAAGTGGAAATGACCCAGTGAGGAAGGAAAGTGAGCACCGCCTGCCCTGGCCACACAATTAAAACATATACGCTGGCCAAAGGTGCATCACTCCTCCACCCATCTCTTCAGACTGAGAAAGGCTCATTTTGACCTGGAAGCCTATTAAAGCATTCCACTGGGGGAATTCTCTGCCCCTGCTGGAGGGACACTGTGAGAAAATCTTGTTCTTTAGAATGCAGCCACACAAAAGGTTTTGTGCAAATACCGAGTCATGATTCTATAAATGCAAAGAAGAATTAGGGATGGTATGTGAACAAAAGCTGGACAGAGGATGCACGCCCAGATGCTGTCTTGGCCAGGTTGCAGTTTCAATGATCTAATGTTTTCTGGCTCCTTCTTGCTTTGCTTTTCCAATTTGGTTTGAATATTTGCATTGCTGTATTATTTTTCCTGTACAATTGCTGTTGTCTGTACACAATTAGGTCATTTTCACAGTTGGGTGAGGAGACACTTCAGACCTGAGATGAGCTGCAGCTGCTAGCTGACTCCCTCCTGGGTTGTGTAATTAGATTCCTGTCCTGTTGGCCCCAAAGACACTACCTGCACCCAACATCTGTTGGGTTTTAATGTAAGCCATCTAACCAAGTGGAAAGAAACCATGACATCCCTTTGTAATGGTGGCTAAGCACATCTTGTCTTTGTAAGTTTGGGGTTAATTTGCTGATCTAGTCATCCTGTTCTTTGTGCCAAATCTAACCTTGTATTACTATGCTCCAGACTGTTTCCTGGTAGCCAGTGGCTTCTTGGTTTGTGGCATGTCTGCTGAAGACCTGGGCAAGGGAGAAGAAAAGGAAATTAATAGGATGAGGAGGAAGGACCAGCTGTCTCCAGAAGTGCACACGGAAATTCATGTAGATGTTCAGGTCAGTACAGAGGCTGGACTTCGATCTCGGACTTTGGAGAGTGAGAGAAAGATGATCTGAAAGGAAAGGACGCTTATTTGGCAGGTGATAGCTGATCAGGGCCATGTCCACAAAGTGCTCCACAATGCCTCACTGGTGTAAACTCTCACTGATACACACTTGACTGATAGAGCTTTCTCAACTAAGTGAAGTTTGTGGCCCTTTGGTCAAGGCCAGGGCTAAAGTTTACATCCATGCTACTTTGAACTAAGGTTGGGCTAAACAAATGGATCTATGGTTATAGACACTAGGGAAGCCCCCTGACTCTTAATGTGCTTCATATCAGACATGACTGTGCCCAGCTTATTGAATGGGCAGGATGGTCTCTCTGGCTCAGCCTTCTCATTGTTTTCTGCTTGCTTCCTCTTTGGTACCTTAGGTCTGAATCTAACAGTGGCCTTGTTGCTCCTCTTTTCTTTTTTCCTTTTTATCCAGATCACTTGTTCACCATTCATTTACTAGCTATTTGATCCCCTTCTGTGTGTCAGACATGTGTTAGATGCTGGAGTTACAAGTGAGTCAGGAGTCTTTGCTCTCGTGGAGCCTGCAGTCTCATGAGGAACACCAACCATGAGTGTGATAGGGAAACCTGTATTCAGGTGCTGAGTGATGGCTGAAGGAGGAGGCAGCCAACCCTGAGAGATGGGACCCCTTATCTAAGTTCTCACAGATGGCTGATGACAGAGTTGAAACTAAAGAGATCATTTGGGAATAGAAACCTGGCCTCCTACCATCATCTCCTTCCAAGACACCACACTCACAATCTTCTCCTCTAATTCTTTCTCATCCAGTTGCACATACTTAGAACTTACCCTTTTCTCAAAACTGAGCTATTCCCATCTCAGTAGGATTCACGTTTGTCACTAAAGCTAGATGTCTGTCCTATCTCTAAGAATTGATGTGCTGATAAGTTGAGCTGACAGACATAAAAGTGCTTTGAGAACTAAACCCAATACAAACCTAAGTACCAAAGCTACTATCTAAAATATTGATTCAATACATGAATCCATCAAGGGATCAATCATTAATACTAGGTTCTCTGGGGGCAGGGCATGTCTTCATATACAGGATGGCCCCATCCCTATAGGAATTTGGGGACAAGTTGATGGTACAGGGTTAAAGAGGGAAGAAAGTAGGCATTTATTGAGTATTTATTGTGTGGTATGCAGAGTGCTACCTGCTTGTCCTTACAGTATCTCAGATAATTGTCACAACAATCTAGGAGGTTGGAGTGATTTTTCTTTATGTATGAATGGAATGCCCTCCCCCAATCCTTGTCTGTTCAGGCACAATGTAGCATAATAGCTAAAAGCCTTGTAACAGGACTCAAACTTCTTGAATTCATATCCAGGCAATGTTAACTACTTCTGGTATGACTGAGCAAATTACTCAGATTCTCTGTACTTTGGTTACAAAATTGGGATGACAAGAATGGTGCCAATTTTATGCTTTGTTGTAAGGATAAGATACATGGGAAGTACTTGCCACAGTGTCTAGTACAGAGTACACACTAGATAAAAATTAGGAGTTGTTGTTATTATCCAGCTCCAATCCCTTTTTATCTGCAAAGCCTTCCCAGATCCCCCATCAGAATTGATCTCTTTTGCTTCTGTATCCTCACATCACTGTGGGCATGCCTTAGCACATTCTTATGTGTACGTGGTTATTAGTGTCTGGCATAGAAAACACATTCAATAAACGTCAATGGTTGGATGAATGGATGTTTCTGTCTCCTAGATCTCTTTCCTGTGCTCATAGAAGGAAGGTAGTATTGTGTTTCTTGCTATAAGGCAGACAAAACACCCAGATGTTCTAAATAAAATACAACAAATATACTTTGAATGCATGGCCAAACTCTTCTGTAAATTAGGGAAATCCTTATGGACACACACACCCACACAAAGAGGGACTGGAATTCAGAGAGGTAAACTGCTACTGAAACTCTGCTGCTTTGGGAAATCTGACTATCTCATGACTTTGGGGTTTGGTTTCAGGGGCTTTATGGAGGACAGAAGACAAGGCATAGTGTCCTCAAAAGATGGTAAGCTGGAGTGAGATGTCTGCATAAAAGTGAGACTCACGAGCGTAGACTAAGGGGGGAAAAAAACCCTATCTGCATGAAGAAAAACAAAAGAAATGTCTGTCTTGGCCTGGGCTCATAAAAATGTTAAAATCACAGACTTCCCCATCACAGATTTAGAGTTTAAATTTGTATTACCTACATGGTCTGGGAACTATAGCTGAAAATAAGTTCAAGTTGGTCCCAGATTGGTAACATCCCGAGCACCTGACCTCGTCACTGGAGAGAGAGTCACCGAGGTCTCACTGGAGTCTAACAGATAAAGCCCCACTGAACATGAGATTAAATCTAAAATTACAAATCCCACTAGGAAACAAGCTACCAGGAGTGAAAACTAGTGGAAACCATAGAACTAGACATTATAACAGTTATCATATATGAAATATAAATTTCTTAAAATGCTTAAATAAATAAAAGGGGGAAACAAAAACATGAAAAAGAATAAATAAAATCTAAAAGATCAGGAAGAATTGAGAAAGGACCAAATACTACTTCTGGAAATAAAAAATA